TTTTATTTTTGTTTGGGCATTTATTAGCTAAATGTTTAATATCGCCGCAAATAAAACATTTACAATTTCTTGTTTGTGGCCTTTTTACATATTTATTTTTATAGTATGGTTTATTTCCTTTTTTATATGATGTGCTTTTTCGTAATTTCTTTTTTCTTTCATAATGTCCATATGCTTGAGGTGTGTAAATTGCTGATTTACAAAAGGCATAAGCATTTTTCTTTAATTGTTCTTGTAAAGCTACTTCTTTACATTTATCTTCTAATACAACAAATGTATATGTAATCCTAGGTCCTATTCCTAGATTTTTCTGTTCTCCATATTGTTGTTTCCATGTTTCATGTATATATCTTCCTAGATCTCCTGGAAGTTTTATAAAATATTTATCACATAAATTATCATCCATTGCTTGCCCGGTTTGTGATAGTAATCTAATAAAATCTAATGTGAATTCATTAATATATTTCATATCTGCTATACTTAATTGTTCAAGATTTCTAATAGCTGTATCTTGTATTAATGTATTATTTTTTGCAGGGTCTACTCCTAAAATTAATGTTCTTATTTTTTGCAGATATTAATCGGAAAGTGTTATATTAATAAATTAAAAGCCTTAGGTGATAACCCATATAATTTTACTAGTCAAATAAGAACATTAATTTTAGGAGTAGACCCTGCAAAAAATAATACATTAATACAAGATACAGCTATTAGAAATCTTGAACAATTAAGTATAGCAGATATGAAATATATTAATGAATTCACATTAGATTTTATTAGATTACTATCACAAACCGGGCAAGCAATGGATGATAATTTATGTGATAAATATTTTATAAAACTTCCAGGAGATCTAGGAAGATATATACATGAAACATGGAAACAACAATATGGAGAACAGAAAAATCTAGGAATAGGACCTAGGATTACATATACATTTGTTGTATTAGAAGATAAATGTAAAGAAGTAGCTTTACAAGAACAATTAAAGAAAAATGCTTATGCCTTTTGTAAATCAGCAATTTACACACCTCAAGCATATGGACATTATGAAAGAAAAAAGAAATTACGAAAAAGCACATCATATAAAAAAGGAAATAAACCATACTATAAAAATAAATATGTAAAAATGCCACAAACAAGAAATTGTAAATGTTTTATTTGCGGCGATATTAAACATTTAGCTAATAAATGCCCAAACAAAAATAAAAATATAGAAAAAAGCAATTTAATAGAACAAATAGGAGAATATAATATAGAACTTCTTAATTCTGATAATTCTGATAATGAATCAATATATAGTATATATAGTGATAGTGATAATGATAAGCACTTAACCAAAATAACATATACATACGTAAATACAGAACAAGAAGAATGTCAACATAATTGGATAAACAAACGAGGAAATAACTATATAAAATGTTATAATTGTGGATATTATCCTAGTATAGAAAAAAGATCACAATGTAATATATGTTTTACAAAAATTTGTTACATATGCCTTAAAAAGCTATACAATTTAGAAATAAATAAAGAAAAAACAGAAAAAGAAAATAAAGAAGTAAAAATCGGATTACAATCAGAAAAGATAGAAAAATTAGAAATAATAGCTGAATTACACAAATTAAAAATACAAACTTTAGAAAATAGAATAAATATTTTAGAGGAGGTGTTAGATAAAAAGAAAAAGATCAATATTGAAGAGAACGAAGTAAATGAAATAAACCAAATGTCTCAAATAACAAATGAATATATATTAATACAAACAGATGGATCACCCAACATGATAAACCTACAATGTAGATTATGGTTAGATAATAATAAATTTTTAGATTTAACTGCATTAGTAGATACAGGAGCAACTAAAAGTGTTATATCTTATCATTTAGCACCAAAATCATATCATAAACAATTATCATATAAATTAATGACAAGAACAATTGAACACAGACTAATAACTATTACACATTACTTAGAACCAACAGGTATTCAATTTCTAGACTTTGCAGGTAACTATAGTATGAAATATGATATCCCACAAGTTAATATCAATCCCGAATATGTAAAATCTAATGATTTTATTCTCGGACTAAATTTTATTTTTGCCTTAAATGGTGCTATCACAATAACACGTAATTTTATTACACTTAGTAAACATATATATAGCTTTCCAACACTTAAATATACCAATACATCAGAGTTTGCACAAAAGCGTGGTGGACAGGGTAAATTAGACTTTTTAAAACACAATCAAATTAAGACAAACATTGAAAATGAAACAATTAAGTTATTAACAGAATTTTTAACACATGAGTTAGAAAAAGGAAAAGATATAACAAAAAGTATGAATCATCCTATAATTTTACACTTGGAGAAAATTGGACTTATAGGAGAAGATATTACAAAATCAAAAGTTAATTATATTTGTAAATTTAAATTAAAAAATCCTGATATTACAATAAGAACAGCAAACATAGAATATAGTCCGTTAGATAAAAAAGAATTTAAAAAACAGATACCAGAAATGATAGAACAGGGATTAATTAGAAAATCGGAAAGTCCACATAGATCAGCAGCTTTTATAGTAAGAAATCATTCTGAAATAAAAAGAGGAAAAGCTCGAATAGTTTATAATTATAAAAGATTAAATGACAATACAGAAGATGATGGTTACAATATACCTAATAAAGACTCTTTAATAAACTTGATACAAAAAAAAAAGGTTTTTAGCAAGTTTGATTTAAAATCTGGATACAATCAATTACAGCTTGATGAAAACTTTAAATCATGGACAGCATTTACATGTTCTGAAGGACAATATGAATGGAATGTTTTAAGTTTTGGGCTTAAAAATGCCCCATCTATATTTCAAAGGTTTATGGACAGTATTTTTCTAAAATATGATTTTTGTTTAGTATATATTGATGATATTTTGGTTGCCAGTGAAACAGTACAGGAACATGAGAAGCATTTACAGAAAATATTTGAAGAAATAAAAAGGAATGGTATTGTTATTTCTAAAAGAAAAATGGAATTGTTTAAAAGAAAAATATCGTTTCTTGGTTTAGAAATAGGAAATGGAAAAATTGAATTACAAAGTCATATATCGACAAAAATTTTAGAATTCCCAGAGAAGTTTGAAAATCTAAAACAGATACAAGCTTTTCTAGGATTGGTTAATTATGCGCGAAAATTTATTCCTAATCTTTCAAAATTAGTGGGACCATTATATAGTAAAACAACAAAAAATGGACAAAAACATTTTAACCAAGAAGACATTAAATTAGTTAAAGTAATTAAAGAAGCAGTTAAAAATATTAAATCATTAGAATTACCATTAGTCACCGATTACATAATAATAGAAGTTGATGGATGCAAAGAAGGATGGGGAGCCGTTCTCCTTTGCAAATCCGATAAATATAGTCCAAAAGATACAGAAAAAATATGCTCATATGCTAGTGGAAGCTTTAATAAGACAGGAATGAATTGGACTTCTATAGACTACGAAATACAAGCCATAATAAATGCTTTAGAAAAATTTAAAATATTTTTACATAAAGAATTTACAGTTAGAACAGATTGTGAAGCTATAGTTCGTTTTATTAAAAATGATCAAAGTAAGAAAATAAATAGGACACGATGGATTAATTTACAAAATACGATACAAGGAAGTGGATATAAGATAAATTTTGAGCACATAAAAGGAGAAAATAATGGAATAGCTGACATGCTATCCCGAAATATTAACAAATTATTTTTTGCAGATGGATAGTCGAAACAAGGGAAAGAGCAAATTAATACAGCCTACACAGCAAAAAAGAAGTTCCTCTTCTATGAGCATTTCCTCAGAAGAAGATAGAAACATAACATCAACAGAAAAATTGTTGGATTCAGCAATAAAAACAGAATATCTGCATAAACCCATACAACAGAACTCGATTCCTTATATAGAAATAGCGAGTATTACACATAATAATAACCTTTTGCAAGGATCTAAACCACAATCGTCAAACATTCAGCATTCACATTATTGGACAGGACCTTCAAAAAATACACAATATACACAGAACAGAGAAGCCGTTATAGCATTTGGTAATTGTACTTTACCAATTTGCTTCGATGAACGTAAAAAGTTTAGGCCCATGATCGGGGTGAACTTGACAGAAGACCAACAATGTTTGCTAGACAACTTATGGCATATTCAGACAGTTCCACAGGCTTCATCATTTAAAGTTCAAATTCTCAATGCCTTAAGTTTTTACTTTCATAAACAATCACCATTGACTCCTGAAAAACAAATAAAGAAGTTTACACATTATGTTGTCATAAGAGGCACTAAAGTTGGGATTTTTAATAATTGGGCAACAGTTATAAAATATATACAGTGTCAAAATCCCCTTTACAAGGGATGTTATAGTTTCCAAGAAGCTATGAATATTGCTCGGGAACATTTTGGGCTAAACAGTTTTTTCATAGAACCCGAACAGGTGAAAACATTTTCAGAAATAGCAAAAACTAGTCCAAAGCAAATGATCAAAGCTCATGAGGAAATTATTGCAAAGTTACAACAACAACTTATCCAATCTGGAAAAGATACACAGCAGATACAAAGCCAGATTGAAAACAATATTTTGAGACAAAAAATAAAAATTCTTGAAGCAAAAAATATACAGCTTATACAAAGGAATGAGAAAAAAGATGAGAAATGAAAAACAGCAATATACAGAAATTATGAATGCTTTAAAGCTCGCATTTTAGATCTCCCTTGGAGACAAACGTTGAGGCCAGTACTTGATCAGTTCAAAGAATTTGAGCAAATGGTATCTCAAAAAAATTGTATAGAATTTCCAGCAATTCTATATAAATTGCAGCAAAAAATTGTACAGATTGCTTTTCAAGAAATCAATTATAAAGGAGTTACAGTAATCCAAAGATTGAATGAGGAAGGAGAAGATACTCCCATACTCCTGTTACAAATAAACCTAAAAACTACAGATATGCCAGAAGAACAGATAATTAATTTTTATCACAATGGAATGATAGATTACTTAGAATTCTGCCTCAATAGCAGCACAGAAAGTCTTCTTAATAAATTAGGAGAAAAATTTATTTTAACAGCCGGAAACATCGCCTCTCACAGCATCAGTCCAATTATTGGGTGCAAAATTTTTTCTTCTTTTCCAGCAGCAGATGAACATACTTACAGACCTGCTAGAAAAAGAATCTTCATCACCCAAAGAACAGTACAACATGGTTATCTTAAAAAGTTATCATGCAAACAAGAAATAAATTTTGGGACTCTACAGAATCTTTCGAACGAAGATATATGCACAGCTCAAAAAACACCTATACTACCTGCAAGCTTTTGTTGGGAAAATTATAAACTCTTAGCAGAAGGACACTACTTACAAATTTGGTCTCATCAAAACTGGCATATGCTCTTGCCATTCAGCGGCGAAGGAGATACACTATTAAGACTAGAAGATATTATAAACAGTGAAGAACAGGTTGACACAGAACCAGGATCACCGGTTTCTATTGATAGTACTCATCGAGATTTTTAGCGAATGATGTTTTTTGCAACAAGGGATACAAAGTGATAAGCTTGAATAAATTTAGGGGCCATTTGAGAACAAAGACAAGTCATATCAAGTTCAAGGGCCATTTATGAAATTATAATTTGTCGTTATAGAATTATTTCCGACTCTTAGAAATGTGCTTTTATTTTATTCAGTGAGTGGTCTTTTCCTACTTTATGTAATGTCATAGTCTGTCTGTTAATTATTTAAGTGTAATTATTTAAGTGTAAATAGTACGCAATCTTTTCCTATAAAAGGGCTTGTAATCGATTGTAAAGATCATCGAATTCTCATACAAATAAAAAATTCTGTTGTTATTTCCCTCATGTCTCTCTAGACACTCTCTTTCCGATTCTCTTAGCCTATCTCTTAAGTTCCTAGTTCTTTGAAGCACTTAATATTATATCCCTTATACATAAAAAAAAAAAAAAAGAAGCTGCTGCTGCACATACGACTCTGGTTGCTTCACTTCCCTGTAAGTTTACTCTTGTTCATTTTAATTTTTGTTCATATTGTTTTTATGGTTTAACGGTAAACCCGGAAAAAACCGCCATACCCCCTTTATATATATATATATATATATATATATATATATATATATATATATATATATATATATATATATATGGGGATACGGAATATACATTACAGCCCCACCTAAGTTTAGGTACTAAACCTCTAAAATATGTCGTTTTAACATGCTAAATATACCCGGTTTGGTTTCACTTGGTAAATATATTATTCTCCATAACATTTCTTTCTTTCATTATCATTTTATCATCTCCATTTTCTTTCCTCAATTATCGTTTATTACTTCTTCTAAGTGAACATTACTAAGCCTTAAACCTAAACCTAAACACTAAATTTAAACCCTAAACACTAAAGCTAAACCTTAAACCCTAAATCTAAACACTAAACCCTAAACCTTAAACCCTAAACCCTAACCCTAAACCCTAACCCTAAACCCTAAACCCTAAACCTTAACCCTAAACCCTAAACATAAACCTAAACCCTAAACCCTAAACCATAAACTCTAAAACCTAAACCCTATTGTGTCGATCTTGAATTTACATCTTGAAGTATTAATCGTGAATCCATTAACCGTAATCTTTATATCGTAAAACAATGAATTTTTGAACAGGTTTAGTACCTAAGCTTACGTGGGGCTGTAATGTATATTCCCTTTTCCCTATATATCTATATATATATATATATATATATATATATATATATATATATATATAGGGAAAATGACTTAAAAGACCAATTAAGTTTCAAAAACGTTCATATTACCCCAATTACGTTTTTGTTGTTAAAAAAAAACCAACGAAATTATGTTTTTTATTATAAAGCCAAATAAAGTTACCAGTGAAATTAACGTTTTTTAATGGTGACCGACATCTTGCAGGTAAACGATGGAGGTAAATGAGTTGGCATATTTTTGTTGAGTTGACATCTGTGTTGGTATATCTACGTGGCATTTGTGTTAGATAGATATAGGGGATGATGGGGGATACGACTCCTTAATCAATCGACTTCTTCAACATGGCTTCATCGTCTCGATCCTCCAACTCATGCTCAAGATCAAAAATTTCCATGTCAAAAAGCACTATTGATAAAGCAAATCCTTGTGATAGTGGGTTTCCTTCTCGCATCTGGATATCAACAACAAAGGCAAATCCTGGTAAAAAATTTAGGGCTTGTCCTAACTCTTTGGTAAGTATATCTAAAAACTTGTTCTTGTTTGGGTCCCTTTTTGTTTTTCATGCTACAGTATTGTTTGTTTATATTATAATTGAAGATGAAGGATCCGAAGGATAAATGTGATTTCTGGGAATGGGTTGATGATGATGAAGAAATTATAACCAAGAACAAGAATAAGAAAGATGAAGAACATGATTTCAATACTGAAGTGAAGATTGCAATATTGGAACATGATTTCAGTGAGTACAAGATGAAGACTGATAAGGAATGTAAGAGTTTTAGAAAGGAATTAAATAAAATGAAATGTTTCGTGTTGATGTTTGTTGTTTTGTTTGTAGTGAAGTACATGAAGTAGTGTTAATGTTATTATGTAAGGGAAATGTACTTTGAAATTATCAGGATATGTATCTTCAAAGTAGTTTCATTGTACTCATGTAATATGGTTACGAAGTGGGAATGAAAAGAAGGTGTATATGAAGACTGATACATATAGAAGGATTGCACTTTATCAAATGATAATAGCAAGGGCAAAATAGTCCATAAAAGGATTGCACTTTATCAAATGATAATAACAGGGACAAAAAAGTCCATAAAAGTTTTTGACATTATGCATGTAATTTGTGTTTTAAATGGTTTTTAAACACAAAGGCAGTTTTATTGAAAACACACATAATAGTAACATACTTTTATTGATTGAAAATAGCAAGGGCAAAATAGTCCATAATAAGATTACACTTTATCAAATGATAATAGCAGGGGCAAAATAGTCCATAAAAGGATTGCACTTTATCAAATGATAATAACAGGGATAAAAAAGTCCATAAATGTTTTTGACATTATGCATGTAATTTGTGTTTTAAATGGTTTTTAAACACAAGGGCAGTTTTATTGAAAACACACATAATAGTAACATACTTTTATTGATTAAAAATAGCAAGGGCAAAATAGTCCATAATAAGATTACACTTTATCAAATGATCATAACAGGGGCAAAAAAGTCAATAAAACCTATTTCAAACTATGAAGGTGGCCTACAAAAGGTAATGCCCTACAAAACAGTTTTTACCAATTTTAACATAGTTTTAACAAATAAGGGCAAAATGGTACACTGTTATAATATGCATAAAAGGTAATAAACTACATATCAAGCATAATTAAACCACATAATCAAGCATGTGCACATGGCACTAAATGTTGGTAAATGTGCACAACACCAAAAGACAAGCCTAAGCATCAAAAAGACAAGCCTAAGCACCAAAAGATGTGCACTAAGCACCAAAAGATGTGCCATTTCAAAGTATTTGACATAATCCTAATAGAACACACTTATCCTAGTTTAAAGTGACTGGATTTTTAAGACTTTCCCCACTTCCATATTTTGTTACCACCTTCTTCCTTAACTTCAGTTTTGTGATCCTCTCAGAAGGTAATCGCCTTTTGTTAGCAACAAAATGCTGAAAAAAAAACAGGTTGGTGCTGATAGTGATGAACTTCATCAAAATCAGGTTTATGGTGGTCAACAGCCTCTTCATGGTTAGCTTCATCTTGAACAACTTCAATGTGGTGAGCTTCATCTTGAACAACCCCCTCTTGATGATCCTCAATATGATCTTCTTGATGGCCTTCAACATGATTTTCTTGATGGTCAATTTCATCTACTTGATGGTTAATCTCATCCTCTTGATGTTCAATTTCATCCTCCTGGTGGTCTTCAATATCACCTTCTTCAACAGCCTCTTCTTCACCAATCCCATCTTCACTAACCCCATCTTCATTGACCCCATCTTCACTAATCCCATCTTGACTAACCCCTTCTTCAACAGCCCCTTCACCAATAGTTGCTTTATTTGCTGCATTGTTAAAACAAAAATAATTATTATTATACAAATGTAGAGGAATGAATTATCAAAATAAAAACCAACCTTCTGTGAGCAATGGACATCACCTCTTGTTGTGCCCTTCTTGATGACAATTACTACATCTTGAGATGGACATCCCTGTCTTGTTAATTGTATGCCTTCCTTCATTTTCTGTAGGACATTTCATTATGTTTACTTTGGGCCTTCCTGGCATTCTCCTACGCCGAGGTGGTAATATGGGATCATATAGAACATCAGGCCACATGTTAGCTCCATTTATTGGTTTGACTGGATACCTATAGCAACTTTCAAACATGCTTGTTTTAAACCATACGACTACATAGTCCTCTGCATTTCCATTCAGGTATAATATAGCAGCAATGGCATGCACACAAGGGATACCACTGAGTTATCACGCTCTGCAACCACAAGTTTTTCTTTCAAGGTGAACAACATAAACTTCATGGGCTAATTTCACTTCATATTCTTCCTCGCCACTTGGAATAACATCCCAGTACCTGAAATCATATTAAGAAGGTAAGTTATTTCATATTAAATCACTTACAATTAAATAATATACCTTTGTTGTTCTTTCATCTTCTCAATCCTCTTTCTAATAGAGGGGCAGATTTCCATGTCCCACTTATGCCCCTTAATCTTTTGATTGTACATCCTCTCCATCACGTATAATCTGATTTCTTCCAGCATTGTTATTATTGGTTTCTTCCGGGCCTCTACAATTGCTGCATTGAAAGATTCAGATATACCGTTTTCCACAGCATCACAACAACTCTGAGGTTCAAAGAATGCTCTGCACCATGTATTTGGGTCTCTTTCTATCAGGTGCTCATAAGCTTCTATGGACATTGTACGAATTTCCATCATGTATGATCGGAAATTGGAATCGGTTGTAGCCTTTGCAGCCCTCCAAAATAACCTCCGAAACTCAACACCTGTGAACCCCTTCTTCTTAAAGTTGGCATAGATGTGTCGGGCACAATTCCTATGCTCACATGATGGTGCCCTTTCCTTAACAGCCTCCATTAAACCCTACAAGTTGATAACAAATTTCAGTTTTAAAGTACATAATAAAACATAATATGGTAAGTAAAATGTAAACTATAACACACCTTGTGTTGGTCTGAAATAATTGTAAGACCCTTACCATCTCCCATCTCAATGTCCTCAAGTAGAAGATCAATGAACCACATCCAAGTTTCCTTGTTTTCAACTGGCACAACAACCCATGCTAGAGGATACATTTGGTTGTTTGCGTCCCTACCAAAGGCTGTTAACAACTCACCTCTGCAAATACCCTTCAAAAAACAGCCATCAACACCGATAACCCATCTACATCCTTCAATCCAGCCATCCTTGATAGACTTCAGGCAAATATACATCCTTTTGAAGTAGTGTGTAGCATCAGGCGTATGATTTGTCTCGATCAAGACTGTTGACCCAGGATTAACCCTCAATAACTCAGCACCATAATTCCACAGGTTCTCATAATGGCTTACCAAATTGCCTGAAATCTCATCTAGTGCAAAGTACTTGACATTTCTACACTGCCCAAGACTTACCTTGAGACCATAGTCTTTCCTAACCACTTCTGCCATTTTCCTATAGCTAAACTTAGGCCTTTCCAAAATGTCAGGTATTAACATTTTTCCAATCCACTTATACGTAACAAGACAACCCAATTTTTGTTGTCTAGCACAATTATGTTTATCAATTAGTGACTTGATCTGGAATGAATTTTCCTTGTTCATAGGACTAGCCCATAGTCTAAAAGGGCAATATGGCTTCCCTTTTTCATTTTTACTGCACCTTACTAATAATGTTGTTGCCTCATTTTTTCATACCACAATGAATAACCCTTAGACACAGCATAATTTGTTAACATGTGTTTCAGTTCATCTCGATCAGAGAATTTCATACCTAACTCAGGCATCATAGTGTCCCGTTTTTGGTTTGGATCGTGAATAGGATGTTTTTTTTTACCTTACCACCAGCTTCTTCCTCTATGCCTCTTTGTGGAATAAGATTCTTCTGTGACAAAAAAGGATCAACAACTTCATGCCATTGAATGTCCTCATCATCAGCTTCATGGTCCACCGATAGATCATCCGATAATACCGAGTCCACATCATCTTTATATGTTTCAGTACCACTATCCCATTCTTCAGCTTTTTCTTCTTCAATCCAATCTAGTAAGGGTTCATGATGGTCATCAATGTAGATACTTATTTGATTATCATCATCATCAAACCCAGCATCAACGAACCTAACATAATCATCTTCATCCCTGAGCTCCCTTAACCCATCTACGAGGGATCGATTTTTAAGACAGTAATACATATCCCGACATCTATTGTTGATCAATTTTTGGAGATAGGTCTTGAACTCCTTGAAATCCATGTTACGTACATCTAGCCCCATAACAGGTACTTTATCAGGATGAAAGTAAACCAAGGGATTAGGAGAAAAAACACCTTTATGGTAGACATCAATGTTGAGTAAGTCACGAGACATGCTTGCTGCACGAGACATGCTGAGAACCCTTGTTGCACAATCGACTAACTTTCCTTTACCTTCTGTAAAAATCAATTTCACTGTCACGAGTTCACCGTTCACCGTTATGTAAGAACCCTAGATATCGATTTCACCCTTCACTGAGAACCCTTGATGGTGAATCGATATCCTTGTGGCATTTATGTTTCACGTAATGTGTTTTAATAATCCATGTCAGATTAAACCATTGATCACCGGTAAACAAAGAAGCGTAACCCACAGATGCCGGTCACCATTAAAAAACCTTATTTTTATTGGTAACTTTATTTGGATTTATAATAAAAAAACATTATTTCGTTGGTTTTTTGTGAACAACATAAACATAATTGGGGTAATATAGACGTTTTTGAAACTTAATTGGTCTTTTAAGTCATTTTCCATATATATATATATATATATATATATATATATATATATATATATATATATATATATATATATATATATATATATATATATATATATATATATATACACAGAGAGAGAGAGAGTGTGTGTGTGTCTAGAGGCATGTATGTGGATTTGGGTTATTAGGGATGAGGTTGTTTTTTTTAATTAATTTTAAATCAAAAAAATAATAAAAATTTTAAAAAATAGAAAAACAAATTAATAAGTGCAAATATATCAGTTGAAAAAATTTCAAAACAAAATGGATAAAACTCGCAACAATATCAAAGTTTTGGGTTGATGGTGTTAGTAAAAAAAACCTTTTGGAACAAAAATGAATTTTCGACATGCCGTTTTTGCAATTTTATTTAATAATAAAATATATTTTTAGTCTAAAACAATATTATACATACTTTTAATCCAAAACAATATATTTTTAACATAAACACTGAAGTATAATTTTTTAATTCAAAAACATCATAACATTATTTAACCCAAAACTACACATAATTATTATTAACTCAAAACAAATCACACTTTTTATTTTTAAACCAAAACGCCCCAAAAGAGAGTTATTCATCAATTTGAAATATTTAACATCCGTAAAAGAAAACAAAATAGTCAAAATGAAACTAATCTACATCACATAATTGCTCACGGTGTACCATATGAGTTTATATTTAACTCCATCAATTGGTAAATGCATTGGTAGCAATAGTTACAACGATAGTTTGATTCGTTTTTATTAGAAAACCTCAATCTGAAGTTTAAAGCAAATAAAAAGAGTGAGGCCAATTAAAATACATGTATTTCAAAAAGGCTATTCCAAACTACAAGAAATTTAGTTGATGAATGCAAATCCACGTATAAAGATTTTCCTAATATGAATCCGCATGATATAATCATGTTGATGAAACCAAACTCTACAGTTATTCAATCCATCAAAATGTTTCTCTTTTATTACTTTCACTACCTAACTATAATAGACTTTGTTTTGGCGAATGCAATAAGAAAGGTAAAAGCTCCAAATGAAGTGCTTGATAGTAATGATAATTTTTCAAATGAGTTGCTCTCTTACGTGTAAATGTGTAATGTCATGACATACGTTGGTGAAAGGTTTGTTAAAGGAAAATCACAGAAAGCTCTATTATTAGTCATGTTATTATTGGTTGATTGTTAACCGACTTATAGTTAGTATATATAGTCGGTTTTTGAGAATGTAACACTTAAGCTATAACATCATTCTCCGATCAATATAAATCTAAGTTGTATTTATTTATTTATATATATATTTTTTTGTCACTTTAATCATAAAATTTGTCATTGTATTCTTGATTCAACAACATGAAACGACTTATACATGTAGGAAGTGGCGATAGAATTCAAAATTGTTTTTGATTAGTCACATTGTATTTCAATTTGATTAATATCAAAATTGCTCACTTTGCTACAAATGAGTGAGCAATAAAAAAAAATGCAAATAATGAGTGAGCAACAACTTGGTGCTCAATATGTGGGAATTGATTGATCAACCTTGAGTGCATATGCATGGATTCCACCCGCAATGTTGTATATTTTTCTAAACCCCTTCACAAACAAACATTCATATGTACCATGTTTAGTTAGGTATTAAGAACTAGGGTTAATTGCAAGAAATAGCAACATACTTCTACTTATTTGTGTATTTTTATTTCTTTCTATTACAACATTACATTGTCCTTTCGTTTTTTTTTTCTTATTAGAACATTATACTTTGAAAAACCTCCCAATTTATATATAACAAAGAAATAAGTTGCGTTTATAAATTACCTGTGTTTGCAACCATTTGGCAACTTGCAATGAGCGCATTCCATGATGACACTAAAGAAACACAAAATGTAAGTTGTAATCATAAATCGATAAAAAAAAAACAATATTTAAAAACGTGAATTATTCGTGTTTTTTTGCATAGAATAGAAGATATACATACGAGAACATAAGTATCCTTTTGAGGATCTAACTTTGTGGTGATTTCTGGGCCCCACGTCCCAAACTGCTGAAGAGGAAGAACTTGAAATCCTGATAAAGAGGCTCTCTCCCTGTTCAACAAAACAGACATTATTTCATTCTATTCATCAATCAAATTCCAGTTTATTTAATAATAATAATAAAAAAAAAAAAAAGTTACAACTTACACTTCATGTGGTTCACGAACATCAATACATTGAGCATCTTCAAGGAAATCAGGATCTTGCAATTTTACATGAAAATCTTCAGGTTGAATGTCTTCAAGTACAGATTCTTCCCTGAAATTGTATTATATTATATTATATAAAAAAACTCAAAATCATCTCTAAACTCTGATATACAAAAAAAATTAATACCTCTCTGATAAAACTTGCAATAAATGCCATCCAAATTGAGTTTTACATTTAACCACTTTGTTTAATGGAGCATTAAATGCAGCTTCCTCAAACTCAGGCACCTGCAATAATATTAATATTTAATACCATGTTTGTAAATCAATAAAACCAAAAAAATAAATAAATAATAAGTTAAAAGTTTATACCATTTGTCCCTTTCTCACCCAACCAAGCATACCACCTTCTTCCTTTGATGGACAAATTGAATATTCAACTGCCAAGTCACTTAAATCCTCCCCTGTTAATTTACAAAAATGATTTCTTTTTAGCTACATGAAGAGTAATTTACATATTTGGTCCCTGTGCTTTTCTTTATCAAAAATCACAAGTTCAGTCCAAATTGTCACACAGCCAAACTGATCAGATTTTGACTGAGGGACTAAATTGGAAAGTTTAGTGACATGGATAAAACAAATGGAAAATTTTGTTCCCATTTCATAACATTAACCCTAATAATAAGTTAAATGATGAGATAATAAAGAAAGAAAAATTCATAACCTCGTATAACTCTTTTCTGCAGCTCATACAAAGTATTTTGATCCTCCTCTTTCACAAGCAAGTGTTGCACCAATACTTCTCTACCAACATCATTACTCCCAGTAGTATATGATGCTGGAATTAAACAATATAATTCAAGTAAACCTTTTTAGAAATTTGATTATAACAAAGGCACAAAGCAAGATTTGTAGTTAGCGTCTAAATCCTGGGATTTTTAAACATGATTAACATCCTCCAAGCTTTACAATATACTATAAAGAAAAACAATTTGAATGCTATATCCATTATCCCCTATTGTTATGACTTACAGGAAACATGAATTGCAACTCCGTGTTATAGATATAAATATATAATTCCCTTGTTTTCGTTGAAATAAACGTATAAAAACATCACTCGGAATCCCAAAAAATGACTCAATTTGGCCAATATGTGTCTCTAATTTAGCAATAGACAGAGTATCACGTTTCTAGGTTTCCACATTTGAGAGTAATCAAACTGAAATCCAGTGCATATGTTGCCTCTAGTTTTCTACAGAACCGTGTTAACAAGAAAACAGAATAATACCTGATGCTCTGGGAGCTGGATGATCCATCATGCGCAGAACCCTTTTCAAAGTAAGAGAAGATGTCGAATAATTAAGGGTTTGGGATACAAGGGCGGATGATGGAGCAAATGCGGTGGCGATTCTCCTGGCCGAAGATGAAGGTGTGAGATTAAAGATTGGAAAGAGAGAGAGTCTAACAGCGCATATGCTGATAGCTGGGGAAGCTATTGATGGTAGATTACAAGAAGCTCTCAGCATACTTTTGGGTTTTGTTTTAATTTTGATTTCTATTCTAAGGAGTTGGTGTTTGGGGAAGAGAGACTGACAAGGAAGACGACGGGATAAAAATTGTAGGAATCTAGCAAATATCGAGGAATATCACACCCGGGTTATAACCTGACCGGGTCAAGATAGAAAAATCATAAATTTTTGACAAAAGTGCAAAAATGGTTACGCGTATATTTTTGGGAAAAGGACTCTTGAGGTAACTAATTTTGCCTTTTTTTTTTTTTTTTTTCAATATAGTGATATACCAATGAACTTTTTAGAAAAGTTAAAAGTCTAAAAGTTGCTTTAAAAGCAAAGCCAAACACCCTCTAAATCTTAATCTTTTAAGATTTATGGTCTTTTTGGTCTGGTTTGTATATGAAAATAGTCATCCGACCTAACTCCCGTTAAATTATTCCTGTTAACCCCATCATATGCCTCCCACGTGAGGACATTTTTGTCTTTTCATCTTTTAAGGACCATTTTTGCATATGGAAAATATATTATACCCTTTAAATGTTCTCTACCGTTGCTATCTTTCCTAACATCTACCTCAACGAATCTTTTCTTCCCTTTCTTCTTCTCGAGCTCTTATAATAACAATGGTGCTCTGTTTTTGTGGAAAGCTTGTTGTGGTGAAAACATCATGGACCCCACTAAATCCCAGAAGGAGATTTTTGCATGCCCTATGAATGATTCTATTTGTGGGTCTATCGGGTGGCTTGACCCGCCAATGTGTGCTAGGGCTGAAGTCATCATATCTGGTCTGCTAAGAATTTTGGACTCGGTGCAATCAGTTGGTTAGAAGTGTCAACATGCTAGAGGAACAGTGCAATAAATTAATAAGGAGGAACAATATCTTGGTAGCAAATTGCAATGTA